GTTTCTCGAGATCATCCTGAACAGTCCAGGATTCACCTTGAACAAGAGCCTTCGAGGTCAGGTAATCGGTAGCCTGGTTGAACTCGCTTCATGTGTACCAATCGGACCGTCTGGAAACATTTCTTCAGGGTTTCACATTCAGCTAGCCTCCTTTGGAGATTAGGCTGGTTATAATTAATCAGACCTTGGACTTGTTGAATCACAATTCTCGAGTCACCCACGACGACTATGTCCTAAATTCCTCTTTCCAAAGCCGTTGCAAGCCCTTTAAACAACCCGAAGTATTCCGCGTCGTTGTCGGTGACTCCATCCAAGATATATCCTCGAGCATCCAATACCTTCCATTCAGGTAGCTGCCACAGAATGCATCCGCAGCTGCCCTTCCTCGTGGATATTTTGGCCGCACCATCAAACCTCAGCACCATTCCGGAGTACTCCACTGAGAGCATTTCGACACTCACGACTGGAGGCAGTTTGACGCGCCCCTTGGCTGGAATGAGTACTCCGGCGACCTCATCCAAGTGCTCCCTGGAAGTGATACCTGCACCCATAATGGCGGCTAAACCATCCTCATCTCGACTGACTTTCCGAACTTCCAAGTCCTACTGTGAGAGAGCGACGCCCCATGGCATCAGACGGCCTTCGGCGGTCTTGGAATTGATGACCCATGTCAACACTGAATGTCGAGTGTAAATTATCAACGGACATTCTTCGATCAGATTCTTGAACACATGGAGAACCCGCATCACAGCGAGAACCTCCTTTTCCGCAATATGGTACTTGAGCTCGGCGTCACTCAGGACACACCCCGTGAAACGAACGGGTTGAACAAGTCCGTCATGCATCTGTCCTAGAACTGCGCAAGCAGCCCGCTGATTCGCATGAGGGATGATCACGAAATGTTTCGTTCGATCTGGATGTTTGAGTAGAGGTGTAGGCACAATCTTCTTCTTCAGGATCTCAAAGGATTCCTTCGCTCGAGACAAGTCTCGTCCTGCGCGCAACTTGATCATCGGTCAACTCATAGAGTGAAGCAGCTACCACAGCATAATCTTCAATGAATTTGTGGTAGTAATTCAGGCTGCCTAGAAATGACTGGACTCCTTTCAGGGTAGACGGAAACGGTAACTCCTGAATGCCTTTTATGATCTTCGGGGTGGCACGTATTCCTTCAGCACCAATCTCATGAGAGAGATACGGTATGACACGCTTCCCAAACTCGCTCTTAGGCAAGCTAACTGAGATACTCCAGTACCGCAACCGATAGAGCAACGCATCTAGATCACCGCATAGTTGATCCCACGTGGCCGCCCCATGCGCGATGTCATCAATATACGAACTGCGCCCCAAGACTGGCGCATAGGGGATGGTGCGGGAATACTACGCCTGAAAACCGTCATTTGCTCCACAAGTGGTGTCATACTGCGTCCTGCATCCATTTCATCACTCGGCGACTGAGGATTCAACTTCAAATAGTCTAGCACATCCTGGTCCACAAGTGCCTCTTCTTTGGGAGGTAGCCGCACAAATCCCCACAGGCAATTGTTGATCATCTGTTGGTAAATTAGTGGGGCGTTTTTCAACCTGAATGGCATACGTACCCATTGGAAATGCCCGAATGGACAGGTAAACGCCGAGATCAGCTTAGCCCTCTCGGTCATTCGGACTGCCCAGAAGCCACTCGCCATGTCTAGACTCATAAACCACATCATTCATTCAAAACCGGTAATTAGGTCGTCGATCAGTGGTAGTGGATAGTTCGATAATTGAATGAAGCTGTTCACGACTCGATAGTCGATGCACATTCGAAT